AAACTCTAGTATTCAGCTGTTCTACTTGAGAAACCTTAATCTTCTCTCCTGTATTTTTTTGCCTACTTTACTATGTGTCTTCCACTCTTACCAGTAAGGTATCTTCAACAAAAATATCCCTGCAGGTTAACAGCCTTCACTAGTGCTTTGTCTTTCAACTGTATTGTACAGTGTGAAGAAAAGATACAAGGACTCCCTGAAACAACACCTCAACCTCGGCCATATTGATCATCTTAACTGGTCTGCTCTGGCCTCAAATCGGGAGGCCTGGAGACACACCATCTACAACACTGCCGTTTCCTTTGAGAACGCACGCAGGATCACTCTCAAGGAGAAAAGACAACGCAGAAAGAATCGTATCCTGCTGAATACACCACCTAAGGAGTCTTTCTGCTGTACCTTTTGTAATCGGATATGTCTATCTTGTATTGGCCTCATTAGCCACCAGCGTACCTGTAACAAACATGGATAGAGCCTTCCTAAATCTTTGTTTGCGAAGCCTAGCCATGATGAATGAAGGAAAAAGTATTGTACAGTGTACTGCAAAAGAACTTTTTTATTCACGTGTTAGTTCAGTCTTCTGTAAATGAGTCTTCTCTAAGTCTTGAGTATTTCTGAGTTCTTGTTAGCATTGTCTCAAATCTATTTTTGATTTATAAAGCTAAGAAAAATTATGTACGTAAATATAGAAGGAAAATTATTTTCTTTCAAAAATAGGTACATGTTTCAGTAGGACAGTCTCTAAGGAAATGGAAATCTCGCTTCATCCAGTGCAGTTGTTCAAATAAAACAGTTGCAAAGTTTAATTTAGAGTCTATTCTGGATACTATTTGTTAAATGAAGGATGTGTTTCAAATTTAAAGAATCACAGACTGGTTGAGGTTGGAAGGGACCTCTTATGGTCATCTGGTCTAGCTGCCCTGTTCAAGCAGAGCCACTTAAAGGGTTGCCCAGGCCCCTGTCTAGATGTTTTTTTAATGTCTCTTAAGGAGGGAGATGCCAAAATTGCCCTGGGCAGCCTATGCCCATGCTTGGTCACCCTCACAATGAAAAAGTGTTTCTTGATGTTCAGAGGGAACCTCTTGTGTGAGCAGCAGATGGGTTGATTACTAAAAGCTGAAGCAGTGGTCAGTGACTAGGCACTTAAATGTCGGTAAAAGTTGTAAGTGTAGGAGTCCTGTTAGAGAAGAAGGCTTGTCTTGGGGAACATGTTCCTCCTCCCTGAAATTCTAACTTTGGACAAAGTGGAAGTGGAAGTAATGCTCAGCTATAGGCAGTTTCAAGTATATAGACTTTTCATGTTAGGAAGAAATTCTTTACAGAAAGGGTAATCAGGCCTTGGAATGGGCTGCTCAGGGAAGTGGTGGATTCTCTGTCCCTGGAGGTTTTTAAGATGAGACTGGATGTGGCACTTAGTGCCATGGTCTAGTAACCGTGGCACTGTTGGATCAAGGGTTGGACTTGATGATCTCGGAGGTCCTTTCCAACGTGGCTAATTCTGTGATTCTATAGCAACGGAAACATAAATCTTTAGACTATTCTGCATTAAAAATAGGAAATAAGTAAACAGGCTGATATGAAATGAGATATTGCTATGTCACTTAAAGTTTATTTCAAGAAACAGTATGTAAGGTTCCCTTAAGAACAGTTCAGGGGAAGGCAAGAAAAACCATTGTCACCCACATACAGATGTCTTCTATTTCTTAATGTAAGAATTATTAAGGAGCTTTAAATGATGGGCATTATTTTTAGAGTCATAGAATCATAGAACATCCAGAGTTGGGTCCACAAGGATCACCGAAGTCCAGCTCCTGGCCCTGCACAGGACAGCCCCAAGAAGTTGTACAAATCGGGGCAACCATGACATATTACAGAAACAACTCTGTTATATCCTGTATCATAAACAGATGAGTTTGCCTGAAACTTGTTTGCAGCTCAAGAGAGAGTTGTTGCACTACTTGTAAAAACGGACAAGACTTTGGAAATTACAGAAGCCAAGTGATTTAGAGCTGGTGAAAAAGGTACCTTTTCAGGGAAAACTTGAGCCAAAGAGAAGTTCCTTTTCTTGCTGAACTGTTTCAAAGCACAGAATCCCTCAATCAGGCCTAATAAAGAAGCCACTGTCTCCTGTGCATCGGTGTGAGAACACTAAAATGAAATAGACTGTCTAAGAATGCAATAAATCATATCGGGTCATTGCACTAATGACCAGTTTGGGCCCAAATTCTCATTAGCCTGTCTGTAGGAAGAGAAAACTGGTAAAACAGAAAAAGGCCATATGAGAGAAGCTTTTTGCTGGCACTATCTTAAAGCTTTTCTTGTCGAAGGACACCCTTTAGCTAATTTCAACCCATAAAAAAAAAATAAATCTGTTCGGTGATTAGGAACCCGTGAGTAAGGCCATAAATACCTAAGTTCTTGGGATAAGAGCCTGTAAAACTGTCAAAAAACATTGCCTAAGTGAAAAAAGACAGCCTTTCTTAACTAGTGCTGTCGGCACTAATCCATATTCATATATGGAAGGCATATTTGTAGTTCCTTCTATAAGTTTTTCCTACAAATAACATTCATTCTTATGTTGAAAGCAACTATTTCCTCTGGTTGCACTCTCACCCTGATTTCTAAGTCAAAAAATGTAGGTTTCATTTCTGATGCTTAACAATTTTCATATTTATGCTGATCTGTATTTCTTGGAATAAATTTTCAGACAGAGCTTTTTAAGGAAATAATGTAAATGTTTAAAAGGTCATTAGGAACCTTTTTAAAAGTGTATGGATGATCATATGTGTTTCATTGGGACTTTCTGTGGTTTGAATTCTCAAATATTCTACAATTTTATATGTATTTATATCCATTCCTTCCTGTGATGTTGACTCAGTTAGTTAATATCGAGAGAAAATTCTAATGCAGAGCAATTTCATTGGTATTTTCATGTGAATGAGACCAGGTCTTTCCCCCTTTTTCAATTCAAGTAAACTAGTTCAAAAAAAAGTAGTGAAGTTTTAATAGTGACACATTCTCTGTGCCCATGGGATTTTTGCTTCCTAGAGTTTTAGCATTTGAAAGTATTTTAAGCCAAATATGATAGTCTTTTAGTATTTGTTATTTTTTAAGGGAATGGATTTTACAGTTATTAAAGTTCATGTTGAAATTAATAAAGGAAAAATGCAGTTAATGGACATGTACAGAAACCAGTTCTCAGCTAGTAATTTTGCTGCAAAAAGCAGAAATTGACAGATGTTTTAAGAATAGCCTGAATCTGGAAGACTGAACTTAGTTCGCTGATGTCTTTTAAGTTTGCATTGACTCTTGTTCTTCATCACTGCAGTCTGTTTCATATTATCATAATTACTGCTAAAAATTTTGTATGGTTTTACGGAAATTCAGGAAGGAAAAAAGGTTTCTTTCAAAAGTAGTTGGGTTTTGTAGCAGCGTCGAGTGATGCTGCAGTGTTTTTCAAAAAAGTCTGATGCTGTGGACAATGTAAGAATCTCTCTGGCTACTGACAAATGAGTCATGTTGTTGGTTGGGTTGGGTTTCCTTGCACAGTGTTAACTCACTTGTGTTCAAGCAGTATATACCCACACAGTCAGGTAAAGTTTGTATTTTGACTGTGTGTCTGTGAGAACTGGAGCTGATGTTGATTTAAGGAGAGCAGATGTTAATGGTGTTTTTCTCAAGGATTCTATTGCCCAAATAGACATCTCTCATGGTGAGAAAAGGCAACAAATGGTGGTAAATCTGCCTGCTCTATTATGAAGGGCAACAATAGATTGATTTATGGAGAAAAAGCAACTGTTAAGCTTAGATAGCCTGTTTGTATGAAAACTGAGTTTTACAGACTGGATATTATTGCTGTCATTTTTGAGAAAAATTTAGTTCTATCTTAATCATGAGGGATATTGTACTGGCAAGGAGAGTCACAAAATGTTTGTTAGCCTGGACAACACATCACAGTTGTATGAAATTTCTGTATGGCCACTTTTTTCTTTTTTTATGTACTCTGTTAGCATCCCCTCTACCAACATACCAGAGTTGTATTTTGTCTCACCTACACAGATGAGTGTGCGAGTATGTACCAACACCCACACACTTCAAGCCGCTGAGTCT